CTGGCTTCTCAAGTTGGAACYGATTTTGATTATGTTGTAAGCATATGTTCAATTATTATAAAATCAAAGTTCATAAAGAGTACATTAGTCAGAACCAAACATTTCCATCTCCAATATTCTCCATATTTGATAAAATTTTAAATTGGCTAATCTCAGAAAGAAGCTGACAAATAATCTATTGTTTAGTTCAACCAACACTTGGCAGGGATGGAAGCTCAGGAGATTCAAGCAAAATAGCAGCACAGGCCACTGATTGAGCATATTGCAATGCATTTTTTTTAGAGTTTATTTTCACCTATTTTCTATCAACAGCCAGAAGCTGGTATCCTAAAACTGGATATCTTTGGTGAAATTGGTAAGTAATATGTTGCAATCTTGAATCACTGTAACACACTATTATTTTATTGTTTTTAATGTAATCTTTTCATTCCTTTCCCATTAGTTTCTGCCAAGGGATTCGAATATGATGGATTGTACATACATTTTTTCCTGGAATTGCCACCAAGTAAGATTTGTAAGATTTTCTCCTGTCTCCTGTCATTTTAGGCAAAGCCTGGATAGCGCTATCCAACAGATAACAATACAATACAATACAATAACTTTATTTATACTTGAATTACAAGATAGCAAGTACATGCTAATATCTCCAAGTTATCTAGAGGATAAATGTACTGGATAACAGAATTGACTTATAATAAATCCACTGGATATGGATTTATCTGGCAGATAGTGCTATCCAGGCTTCATACAACTGGGCCCTGATGATTAGGCTACCAATGGGGGGTGGGGCTCCTTTTCTGATACCTTAGAGATTTCCTTCTTTGATTCATGTGACATGTGTTTTTAGAGTGGATGTCAGATGGAGATCCTTATCTCTCAGGAGTCACTCAGACTTGTTTCACAAAGCAAAGTGGACCAGTGAGTATGATACTCAATTCCTAAATTCCAATTCGTTTATGGAACGAGGGCCAAATGTTTGTTAGCCTCTGTCTATTCAGTGCTACCCCTCGTAAAAACAAAATACTAGGCAAATCTGTCTGTTCATTTATCTGTCTGTCTGTTCACCTGACGGTTGGCTAGTTGGTTAGCCAGTCAAAAAGGGTGGGAAAAAAGGGTGAATATTGCGTTCCAAGCCTGTCAAAGGGTAGCCCTTTCACTTTACCATCATTTGATTGGTCAAACGATTCTCGCCAGCAACAGTACATTGAGTGTACAACATGTTTTAAAACACCTAAATGCTTTTCTTTGGTCTACAGAATGATGTTGCTCACTTTAGCTTCCCCTTTGACTTCTCACTGATCTACCAGGAGCAGGAAAACTCAGGTACTTCACCACAGGGACCCCAGCTCAGAAGAGCAAGTCAAGAGCACACAATATGATATAGAACTAGAATTTCAGCTCATGCTGTAGAATTTAATGTAGATGTAAAATTTAGGGGAAATAACATTAAATTTAAAAAATCAGAAATTTAAACTCAAAACTGCAGTTCCTACTGTAGCTAGAGTTAATTTCTTTGTTTTTGGTATCTGGTGAAAAAAGGATTGTCTGTAGCACTAAGGTCACAGTACATACCTTCATGTAAGCGGCGTCTTAATCTTGACCATATTCTGTCTCAGATGATTTTATCCACTGGCCATTTTTGTTTGTGGAGGTCTTGTCRCTAGACAGCTGGGAGAGACATCGCACTGAAGGCTATGGATATATAGCTATCCCCAATCAGCCTGGTGAGTTGAATGTGACTTCCTATTAAAAAAATAGAGAATCAGTTGAAAGAAAAAAAGAAAAAAAAAAAGACTTCCTATTAAAAAAATAGAGAATCAGTTGAAAGAAAAAAAGAAAAAAAAAAAAACAATCAAAAGTATGTAAGGGAATATCTTTCAAATAGAATAGATTATAATGATAAAATGGAAAGTTATAGAATGCAAACGCTTAATCTGGGAAACAGTACTAAATCTTTTTTGCACCTCTAGCTAATTTATAAATAGTATGAAATATTGCAATGTTTTAAAATACCTTTAAAACTGAACTGTCTTTTAATAGTTTGAGATATATAATAGAGTTTATGACAACAAAAAAATATTAAAGAAAAAAAATTGATTGATTGATTGATTGATTGAGAAAGCTAATTCTTTATTGCAGGGAGTCATGAGATCACCATGGATACCTGGCGTCCTTTGGGTAACGGCACCATCCCAGAACTAAAGCGATTCTTCATTGGGGGGTCCCCAGAGCTTGAAGATCCAACRTATCCACAGCAACCTGTTGCCACTGAGGTATGTTTCATGTGGAACCTTATTTACTGGAGTATGAGTTGAAGGAATATACTGTGGGTGATGTAGTGCCGAGAGTGCTTGCCAGTCTCACCAATGACCTGACCATACTTTGTGTTGTATGTGATCGAGTTAAGATGCTAGAGTTGCATGTTGGTTTTCTCCTGTTCTTTGAGGATTTTTCTGCTGGTTCTCCAGTTTTCTTTTTTTTGCAAAAATCAGTTTTTTAAATTCCAATTAGATTTCAGTGGATAATGAAACCCTTTGCAGAAAGCCAATTTGAATCCCACTGCATATGAGGATTGGTTCTTTTGTCCCTCTGAAAGTGATGTCATTTTAATTCTTTAGGAGAAAGTTCTCAGCAAGTTCTACTTTCAGACGGCAACATCTGGGAGTGTCACAGTTCGACTTAACATTGTCCAACAATGCCAGTAAGTTATTCCTGTCTTTATGATCTTTCTTTAATTCTTTAAAAGTGAAAAAAAAGGTAATATGGAAATCATATGGGTAAAAGTAACTATTATTTGTGCCCCAAACCATCTGTTGACTGACTGTTGGTCAGCTGTTGTTGTCACAAACAGGCGATGAATGGTCAACAATAGCCTCCTCCGCAGGCATCTCTGTAACGTTTTCTAGTTTCTCTAGCTATTAATGAGCCGAAGCCTGGGAACGAAAAAACGAAAAACCAGACAAAGGGGCCAGCACTCTTGGTTTTCGCTGGAAAAGGAAGCCCGCTCGCTAGAGAGATATAGTATGTGAGAGTTTATAGAGTTGCCTGCAGAGGAGGCTAGGTCAACAAATGGATGACAGTCGTTAGGCAAATCTTTAAACAAATAAATAAAAATATTACCGTGGTATGTACCTTGTGTGAGGGGGTTGATCTCAATAAGGAGGGGTGAACATATTATTAATATATCATTGCATTTAATATAATTATGAGGGAGGTGATGATATAACATTGAATTTCAATTTTTAGAGAATTTATGGAATCAAAAAAAGCCAAGAAGAAAACACGGTCWATCTTAGATCGACTTGGGTAAGTTAAGTAAAGATAGAAGTTAAGCCTAAACACTGGCCAGTACGAAAGTAGAAACCCTGAATACATGTATGACAGGAAACTCAGGAAGAACTTGGAACTTGAGTGAAATTGCATATGCTGTTTATGACAAGAAGCTCGAAAAACCATACCCTGTTCAGCGGATCATCCCCGTATAGTCCATATAATTATGGGAGAACCCTGTGTGCCCAAATGTAACAATTGTCTGAAAGCAATAGGGTGGAATTCCGAAATCTGCTATTAAAATGCTTTGATTCTCAACTTAGTTCTATAATAATATTATCATGGTTTTATTTGAATTTTTTTCCTTCTTGTTTTGATATTTGTAGAGGTTTAAGTGCTCTYGACTCTCTAGGACAAGTAATGGGTATGTTTCTTGTTTACAAAAATCAGGTCATTTAGATCTTTTATCGTAGAGCCATCTTGGATGACAGAACATTGAATAGACCCCTTGCATGTGATGTCAAAGCAGCTCAATTTGAAGGACAAAACAAAAGAATTTCAATAATGAGAATTGGAAACCTTTTATAAAGGTTTTGCATGGTCACATGACTGCAGCCATCTTGGATGACAGAACTTTGAATAGGCCCTATAATTGCATTACATGTGATGTCAAAGCATCTCAATTTGGAGGACAAAGCAAAAGAATTTCAATCTCATGAGAATTGGAAACCTATAGATATGTCCTCCAAATTGAGCTGCATTTCGACAGACTGCAAGAGGTGTATAGGTTATCTTTCCCGATCAAGGATAAATTTTCATTTCATATAAAAAAATTGCTACATTATTGCTGTCATCCAACATTGTGAACTGCATGTTGCCTGAATTTAACTCTGCTTATTAGCCAAAGTTAAATCTATCAACGTGGCTGCCATCACTTGATAATGTAAAACCTTTTTTCTAACATTTTTGCTGGAGAGGAATGAAGTGTTGACTAAAAAGTATTAAATATTATTTTTCAGATGCCTTTCAGAGAGCTAGAAAGAGGATGGTAGCAGCAAGGGAAGGATTACCGANCTTTTTCTTAAAGATTTCTTATTTATTAAAAGCAAATGTATTAAAATGTAATTAACTGTAAATAATGCATATTATGTAAGGATACTTTGGTTCATTCATAGATATTTATAATATTAGGATGTTTTGTAATAATTTTGTGAGCCATTTTTAATATATCTACTAAATGACAGTTGGTTTCGTTTTACGTGGGTGGTGGGGGGATTGGAGTTTATTTAGTGCCGTTTTCGCATGACTGTGAAAAGCGTGACGTGACGTGCCGTGACCGTGATACTTTCTAGAATTTTAATTGGCTGATGACGCGCAATTGGCCTAAAAGTGCCGTGATCTTGGAGTGACCGTGTCCGGACCGTGTTTAAGCCGTTTTCTGGGTATTTGATTGGATGGAAAGTAAATTCTCTTGCAATGTGATTGGTCTGGCGTATCCCTTTCCGTGTCATGGCCGTTTTCGTGCCGTGAAATTTTCATAGTCATACGAAAACTGCACTAGTAATTAGTGTTTCACGGATTAATTGTTTGCACTCTATGAGGATCAGTTAATCTTGAAAATGACATTAGTGTAGATGCAGCAAAAACCAACCATACCTGTCATCTTTCTCCCATCTCTTGTTTCCATTCAGCGGTTTTATTTGCAGAAAGACACGTCATCGACTTTCGAATTCACGCTTTGTCCCAGTACCTCTCAAGGTGTATTTATTTGTGCACGACCACAAATGCTATGAACAGCTGTTTGATTCGACACGCGAAAGTCACGAGTTTTTTCTACCTTTAAATAAAGTTAAACACTAGCTTAAAAACACCTTGCATCTTTTTAACAGGTTGATAAATATCACGTTGCTGAAGGAGGCATGGAACGGGGGTCAAATCCGGTCTTTGCCCATGGTGAACGTGGGGAATAAAACTACCGATTATTGGTCGTTTCTCACCATGACACAGGGAGACCAACAGACTAGTTTTTGAAACTACAAAAACAAAATCAGTGGCGGACGGCCTTCGAGGAAGAATCGGTGTTTGGAACAAGAAGACTTGAGTTTAGGCGAGTTCGCCACCATAAAAATTCCCCACTACTTCTAAACTTATAACAGAGTTTCATTGGCTTGTTGGCTCCCCAATATGGCGAAAATTCGAATAAGTACCGTCAAGGAACCGCGGGCAAGGAAGAGTTTCAAGACGGAGTAGCAAAAAAAAAAAAAACCGAAAAGGAGACTTTGCTAGCAGTGACAGGTTTCCTAAAATTATGCATTTCATTTTTTAAGCGGTATCAGCACATGTTTCGTCACGGTACCCAAATGACAACATCCAATCACAGCGGTCGAAATCACCGCTCATCCAATCGCATTCATAGGATTCACCAACAAGTCAATCCTCGTCTAACCGTTAGCTATACTCATTAACTCTGCGCATGTCACATGTTCGTCTAATGCTTGCATTGTAGAAGTGAAAACTGGCGGGCCTCAACAAAAACGCGAGGTGAAAAAAATAATGCAGCCCAGTCGTAAAATGCCTTGGTCTTTTCTTTGGGATTTGAATGACGTTTTCATAGATTAATGGCTCGTACCCAGACTCACCTGCTAAGTTAGCAGGTGAGTCTGATCATAGTTAATATGATCTGATTGGTCTGATTGTCCTTTTGAGTGTCGTGATCTTCGTTAAATTCCGGCTACTCCACATTCCTCACGCTTCCGAAGGACGCGTTCTGTCGATGTAATATATTCAAGAGAAATAAGCTTAATTTGGTGTCCTTTTGAGTGTTGTGATCTTTGTAAAATTCCGGCTACTCCGCACTCCTTCACACGCTTCAGAAGGACGGGTTATGTCGATGTAATATATATAAGAGAAAACAAGCTTACGTTGATGTCCTTTTGGGTGTTGTGAAATTCACACGCTTCAGAGGACGCCTAGTTCGATGGGGTATGCAAGAGAAATAAGCTTAATTTGGTGTCCTTTTGAGTGTTGTGAAATTCACACGCTTCAGAAGGACGCCTTTTTCGATGTGGTATGCACGAGAAAATAAGCTTACTTTGGTGTTCTTTTGAGTGTTGTGATCTTTGTAAAACTCCGGCTACTCCGCACTTCTTCACACGCTTCAGAAGGACGCGTTATGTCGATGTAATATATCTAAGAGAAATAAGCTTACTTTGGTGTTCTTTTGAGTGTTGTGATCTTTGTAAATCTCCTGCCACTCCGCACTTCTTCACACGCTTCAGAAGGACGCGTTCTGTTGAGTGTAACATATCTAAGAGATAACGAGCTTACTTCGTCGGTGTCCTTTTGAGTGTTGTGATCTTTGTAAAACTCGCACTCCGTCACACGCTTCTGTGGGAGACCTTCTGTGATCGATGTAATTTCTAAAGTAAGATTACTTTGGTGTCCTATCTACGGCCTTAGGAGTTGATAAGGAGCGAGTCAAAAGGTCTTTAACTCTGTTGAGTGTAACATATTATCTAAGAGATAACGAGCTTACTTCGTCGGTGTCCTTTTGAGTGTTGTGATCTTTGTAAAACTCGCACTCCGTCACACGCTTCTGTGGGAGACCTTCTGTGATCGATGTAATTTCYAAAGTAAGATTACTTTGGTGTCCTATCTACGGCCTTAGGAGTTGATAAGGAGCGAGTCAAAAGGTCTTTAACAAGTCAGTATTTTTCTCTCATGGAGTAACCCTGTAGTATAATCATAGATAGGTTTAATAGCAGTGCATAATCTTTCAATCTGCGTAGTCAACTACACTTTTTTACCCCCAAAAGTCTAATCGTAGTACCCAGTCCCGCGAGGGGTAGGGAAAGTGTGATGAATGGCGTGACAAGTAGCTTGGCGTTGATTCTTTTGAAGCTCGTAAAACCATGCCTTCTCTTTGACAAAAACTAACCAAATGGCACCATTGATGCATGTCATTGCAGGCTCACCGTTTGTCTTGCTTCGATGCAAAGGCACGGCTAACTTTCAAGATGGCGCAGGGAACTGTGAAGGGGTCTTTTGACTACAATGCATTTCGGCCCGTCAGCGATAATTTAGAATTTGATGCTTTCTAACTGTACAATTATCCAGAATCATATTATCTTTCGGCAACGCAGAGCATTGAGCAATTAAATTGGCTTGTCAAGACATGCTGTAAAAAAAGAAAAGGTTTCGGATATCAATTCCGTAACTGAAAAGGCCTCAGGAGTCATGCATGGTAACCATGGTAACGAAAATGAAGTAGCTCGATAGTTAGCTTAGTCAATAGTTTCGACTTAAATCGAATTTGAGCTTGCGTTTCATAGTTATTGTGTTTTCCTTGGTTTTCCTTTTTACAAAGGTTCTCAGGTTTTCATTCCTTCAGTGAAAAGCCAACGGTACGAGCCTAGACTATTGTGTAAGGAACGAGGGGAACGACCCCCTTCCTCGCAATCACAACGTTAACAATGTGCAGTTCCAAATTTCAATTTAGAAAGTTTTATTTACAGCTAGCGATAAAATATTGCAGAATAATAAAACATCTGAACAGTAATTTGAAAGTAGAATTCGACTCTGAGCGCAGCTGTCTGAGCGTGTTTTTCGTTTTAAATTAAAGGCGGAAGTTGAGAGAGTTACATTTGATTGACATATCGCCGCATGACAATACCACGTGCGAATTTAGAATTTCTGGGAAATTCAGAAGATCGATTGATCGATGAGCAGATGATGTAGGTGTGTTGAAACAAGAAGCTGAAAAGAAAGTCATGATGTGAGTCGGCTAGCGATCTATCATTACCCGTTTGCGCTAGTTTAGAATCTTTTCTTTCTCAGTATTGAAGTCTTTTCTGATTGATCGGTAGCCTTTGATTGGTAAGTAAGCCAGTCAGTTATAAGTTCAATCGTCATTCCCTTTTAGTTTAACAGTAATGATGAAAAGGTAAATTATACACCGTGAAAAGATGAAAAAACTTACTGACGTTTCGGACGCTAGTCCTTCCTCTTTTACTCCGACGAAGG